CGTTTTCAATATGGTGGTATTTGGAGATGAGGCATTTTGAGAGTTGATTAGGTTTAGATAAAGGGGAGTAGTGTCCTAAGAAGAGACACCAGATAGCACCTGCTGTTTCTCTTCCATGTGAGGACACAGGGAGAAGGCAGCCATCTGCGAGTCAAGAAAAGAGCCCTTACCAGAATCCAACCAGTTGGCACCCTGATCTTGGACTTCTAACTTCCATAATAATGAGAAAATGGATATCTAATGTTTAGACATTGGTATTTTGTTATGGTAACTCAAGCAGACTAATCTACCACTAAACAAAACTTGTTCCTGACAGGGATTTTATATCCTAAAATTACATTTAAAACTGATAAGGGGAAAGACATATTTGCCCAAACAATGAAAATATATAATGGTACGTAGACAAATCAGATGACCAAAGTAGAAAATATACTACAATATCTACACTTTTCACAGGTTGCTTCCCTCTGACTAACAATAAAATTTCAGAAAATTCACAAGAGGTAAAGCTCAAATGTCAATTAAATATAGGAAAATTATTTATTAATTAGGAGAAAGGCAAATGCACATGGAGGTGTTAAATTTTACTCATCCAGATTATGTCATTAAAAAGAGAGCCGAACCTGTCATAGTAGGGGGATCCTGTGATGGAATCAATCCTCCCTCCCGGTGTTGGGAGTGTAGGGGGATTTGGAGGCACTGGGGTGTGAGGGTGTATTGCAAAGGTAGTCACTGTAGCATTTAGAGGGGAATGTGAAAAGAAGTAGCTTGGCTGACTGTGGGTAGACAGTAATCTATCCACGCCATGAAAATATCAAAAAGGCTTCATGGGAGATGGAATAAGTGAAGCTAAACATGACTAAAATGTGTAACATGCACATAGCATATATATGTCTAGTCCCCTCTATATGAAATCAACCACCTCTTCCCAAGGCAAAGGTGTGCATGTCACTCTTTGCATTATCATGGAGAAAATGTGGAAAGATATGAGGAGGCCACCTGGATTACTTTAGGGGTGTGTGTTCATGTGCAATGTTTCCCTGATCACCATAAATACTTTTCCAATTTAAAATCTATTCATAAAATTGTAAGGTAACAGAGAAAAGCTGATTAGGATTTTACCTGCTTCTGGGAATGACATCTCTGTCCTATGCAAAAATGGTGATAACCAGTTAAAGCTCACTTAGCCTGTCCAAATCAGAAGTGGACTGTTCCATCCTACAACAATGATTCACTAATTGATATTTCAAGGAATAGAATAGAGCTCAGGTTTTCATTTGGAGGATGTATGGTCTTTCCTTACCTTCAGAGCTCTGCCTGGAGCTGATTTTGATGTTAAGCAAGCACAGTGTTGCCAGTAATTCAGCTACTGCCTTTGCCCTGGAAAAGAGGAGGTGGCCGTCCATGGCACTAGGAATGGGTTGGGCAGTAGGCAGGCCACCAGTCCCGCCACTTTCACTAAACCTCTTTGACAAGGTGTCATACTGTTTGTTTGCTACTCAAAGCCTATTTAATGGTATTACTAGCAAATATGGCATTTGTACAGAGTAGTCCTGCCTAACTTCCTGGTATTTTTCTCTGACTTTAAGTTTGATAGAAAGTAGGCCCAGTTTATACTTTTTGTGAGAGTGGCTTATTAGGGCATGTAATTGGATGTGTGATATCTCCTGTCACAATGTGAACTGCAGTTTCAAAGCAGCATTAAGAGTGGGAAGGAGGAAGCAAATTGGGATCAGATGGGACTAGGTTGTATTGATAAAGTCCAGAATGAGAATCTTCCTCTTATCCATGGGTTCTTGATCCTATTGGGAAGATTAACTTAACAGGGGAAAAGCATTACGCAAAAATGTATCCTAAAAAAGCAGAAAACTTCAGTAGAAATTTTCATTACAGATGATTCCAGTAGGGTTCCTTTAAAAACCATCTCCCCTACTGCATTTAAGGCTGTTATTTACAGATGATTAGCTCCTTGGGTAGGAAGAGGGACAATTTAATTCTAAAACTTTTAAGGCCACTTAGAGATTGGGGAAAAAAATTCACAAGCAGACTTGGAAGCTAGTAGATACATGGACACCAATTTTCAAAAGTGTAATTTACATATACCTTTTTTTCAGGAAGACAACTGTTGGGTAAAAATGAGAAACACATGCATCTTCAAGTTAAAAGAGGGTATCTTAAAAGATTGCTGAGAAGTAAGGGAGCCACAGGTTTGGGAAAGACAGCTGGATTCCTAGAGAAAAACCATCTATATCTGTCAGATCACAAAGACAAGATAGGGGGCGCTCACAGCTGCAAGGGGGAGAAGGCTCTGGGTAACTGTGTGTGAGCCAAAAGGACCCATTGCCTGCTGGCTGGATTGCTTGAGGAAGTGGGATGCAACTTTGTACTACAATGTGTACATATATCTTGAAGAGAAAACCCAAGTGAAACTGTGAAGATACCAGCCAACTGCAAACAGCCTGAAGGTCCCAGACTGTCCACATGGTCACCATTACACAATACAAACTGCACTTGGCAATCTGAATATCACTGCTTAAGGAATAAGTCAGTGAAGATTCGTATTGTAAGAAACCAGGTTTTGTATTTTTAATGGGATAGGGACAGTAGCTATGGCTGTGTATAAGAGCATTGATGTGAATATTTTGGGAAAACATTGCTAAAAGTCTAAGTACTAATCAATGGGGAAGACAGATTAAAATGTCATTAAATAATGGCTTATCAGGAGACCATTAGCATTTTCAGTATAAAGAAAAGATGAATGACTGTAGATGAAACATGTGTAAGTGACATAACTGAGGCTATAATTTTAAAAAAGAAGGATGTTGGATATATATTATATAGTTTCTATGATTATTACAAACTTTTAAACTTAGTAGAATTATATGTGACAGTGGTACTTTGCAAATATTTTAGGCTTGGCTGATCACCTATGTTACTAATTGTCTCCGTTTTGGCTTTACAATCCTTGAAAAGAATACTTAGAACTCACAAACCTTATAAAATAGAGCAGAGGTTGGGTTTGTACTAGGTGGGGCTTTATTTGCCAAATCCTGCATTAATGCTGGAGAATTGTGAAAGTATTTCCATACTTAATATTAAAAAACCTCCTTAATTTGCTTTACAATAGCTATATGTATTCCAATTAGTGCTATTTTAGACATATGTTTTCACTTCTGTAAAGAAAACTTGAAACACAAACATGTCATATAATTATAGGAATCCATATTATTCATTACAGTAATGACTGACTTCACAGGGCTAATGTAACACTGATCAAAATAATTCCATGCCTAAGAGGTCCACCAGTACTGTCCTGTACAACACAGAGTTCATCCTAGATGGTTCTGTAGGACAAGAATCTTAGGTGGAAACTAACACAAGGGGACTCAACCCTCACACCAACTCTGTTCTAGGAAATAACACTTACAGAGGAAAAAGAAAAGGAAGAGCAGATAAATGGAATAAAGGTTAGATTTAGAGTCAAATTCTTCTAGAAAAGCAGCCAAAGGGTGAATAATTCCCCCAGGTTCAAAAACCACATTTACCATTTCCTGGCCGTGTGACCCTGGGTGAGTTACTCCACTTCTCAGAGCCCTCCACCTCCTCAGCTGTAAAGCAAGCATTACAATACCTACCTGTGCAGGTGTTGAGAGGAATAAACAAGGCTGAGTATGTGAAAATGGGTAGTAGCATTATAATCCTATGAGACAGGTGCACACACATTCATAATGACCCAAATGAGATAATTTTCATAAATTCAGAAACATCCACTCATTTCCAGGAGGGTTAGATTTTGGGTTCTCAGGACACAGAAAAAATACTTTGCCCTTAACCAAAGCCAGAACTGCTATGGAACAGGGAGGCGGAGGGATGCACAAATAACAGCCTGTTCCCACCTCCTCAAGATTTCAGTAAACCTCCTGGTTTGACTTTGGCCCCCGGGGTTATCTCAGCCTCATGAGTTGGGAATTGAGATCTTTGGTTTTACATGATAGTGAGGATTCTCCTGTCTTATCCCCTTGATGGCGTGAGCCTCTACTCTCTTCCTGTCTCTATTATGTCTTGGAAACCAACTCACAACCCCAAAGGGTCCCCAGAGTCACTTTTGAGTACTGACCCAAAAGAAGATCCATCCAGCAGCTATGGAAATTTCACAGGACCTAGATGTTAGTCTGTGTCTGGGGACTCCCTGGGGAGGAGCAGACTCCAGGGAAGGCTTCTAGGGCATCAGGCAAAGGTTCTAATCTTCAGCCTGCTCTGGAAATGGGGTGCAGAGCACTCCCAACCCCAAACCATCCATCCCAGGTGGAGGAAGTTTTGCTTTGTCCATATCAACATGGTGATCTGTCTTCCAACTTGGGCCTCCTCCCTCTAGCAGTTGATGAGAATATTTACATCTATATCAAATTACATTTACGTCTCAGAAGCAAATTTATATCACGTTCCCCCCAGTCAAATGGGGAAGCCCCATATTTTTCTCTCTCTTCCTCATTAGAATTTTATAGCAAAGGACCAAAGAGACTTGTGAACAAGCCACAAGCTAGTCATATTTTCCCACAGTGAGACCATCACGCTCAAGAGGACTGACTGAGCCTCCTTTGCTAGGCTGGGGTGCCATTTGGATAGCTCAAATATTTATTTAAATTGTTTTCATATTAATTGACAGAGCTGTGCTAGAAAGGCAGGCAATGAGTTCTAGCTTTCCACCTTCCCCCCAGCCAATATCTGAGTTCCATCATTGCACCCGACCCTAGCAAGTCTCAGGAAGAATGGCTGGGACATTGGTACCATGAGGAGTCAGATGGGGATGAAAAGGAGCAGAGGGATTCGGATGTGAAGGCAGTGGGGTAACAGAGACATGCTTATGAAAATCCACTTCACCTCGTAGAGAGCCACAAGGGAGGGGGGACAAAGGGAGGGGAAGAAACTTACATGGCAAGGAAGGTGATTGGACTCAGATTTATGTCACAAAACAAAAAGAGCCACAATGGTGGGCTTACTTGCGGAAGTATATACAAGTGAACTGGGGGCACTGTACATGGAGGATCCCTCCTGGTTGGCCTGGCACAACAGCACCGTGCCTGCGAGAGAGAGAGAGAGATGGTATCTGGTTTGGGAACTGGCACACTACACCTGAGAGATCACTGCAAGGCAAACAAAGAAAGGCAGAGAAACGAAAACATAGCCACATCCCAGTGTGCAGGACGGGGACACCCCAGGAAGCCCCCTGCCTGAGCCCAAGGGAACCAGTGGAAACCCACCCAGCCCACCAAGCACATCTATCATGACTTTTCACATAGGGTTTGAGCAGTAGGGTCTGGCTGACCCAAAATCCAGTTTCAGATCAGCAATGGAAGCAGTAGGGCATACTCAAAAGGGAATGTAAGAAATACTGGAGCAACCCACACAGTAAGCCTGACTCAAATACCCCTTTGCTGTGTGACTTTGGCAAGACACTGTACCTCTCTGTGCCTCAGCATTCTCATCTGGAAAATATACCTACCTCCAAAAGATGTGCCCACAAAAGGGGCTGGCATACAACAATCAAATAAGCAGTATGTGTTGATATGTTTAGAGAAAACTCTTCCTCTCCCCAAACTTTACTCCTTGTGGATTGGTTCAGCAAGGGAGGAAGAGAAGGGCAGACATGAATCCCATGACCCACCCTGAACCCACAAGGGACACACTGAGGGAGGAGGTGGTTGGTTGGCCTCTGTGGGTCCAGTTCCCTCCTCAGTGTTCCCTGCCCTCCTTCTGCAGAGTCTGCTTAACTAACTTGCAAACCCCCGCTGCACTGCAGTGATTACTTGCCTCCACCTGATTTAAAGCAAAGGCCACCAGGCTTACTTTTGCAAAATGGAATTTTACAGTGGGGAAGAAAGGTGGAGTCCTGAGATACCTCCTCAATCTATGCCGTACTTTGAACAGCCACCCACTCCAAGGATGAAGGGGTCAGGCATCTTCAGGGTATCAGTTCTTTCTGGCTGCTGTCAAATTCAAACTCAAAGACTTTGAAAAGAATGTGAAGGACTTGTGAGGAGTTTTAAACTGATTAGTGATGCTGAAGATGCCTTCCTGTGGTTACTGTTCACTTCCTGGGCTAGGTAAGGGCAACTGTCCTCACTGATGCTTGGATTCCATTAGCATCAAAACACAGAGAAAGGGAACTCCAAAGAACAGAGACCAGTACATCCTCATAACTTCAGGGACTCACCTGGGGAATGGTTCTACAGTCCTTCTGGGTCATCCCCAATGTCAACAAAAGCAAGCTTTAAACTCCTATTGACTTTGGGCTCCACAAATAAACAGGAAGAGAGAGTAAGCCAGGTGTTCTCATCCAACCTATACTCCTCCCTTCTCCAGGTACTGAACCAAAGTAGACTTTATGCAGGAAACACAGGGAAGCCTTTTTCCCTGGTCCACCCCCACCTGTTCCCTTTGCTTCTCCAATCCATTGTTTCCAGATGAAATGAAGATTTGATTAAAATTCCAATCCCTCTGCACCCTTCTCCTATGGCCAGGTCTAACAACTCCATCTAGGCTTTCATAAGAAGTAGGCCTGGGCCAGAAGTTGTGCCTGAAAGAAGGTCCCCTAGTTCTTCTCAATGTGACATTCCTATCCTGTGTGTACAGACAGGGAAGAGACATCTCTCCTCTCAGTAGTCCTGGAGGTAAGAATGACATTAACTGGTCATTTCTTGGTGGTAAATAGACTGAGTCTAGATCGTCTGAGCATGGTGCCATTGCAAATCCCAGCACCTGGGAGGCTGAGGCAGGAGGATCATGAGTTAAAGGCTGGCTTGGTCTACATAATGACACCCTGTCTCAAAAAAGAAAACAAACATTACATAGCAGAGTCTGGATGGACCTCAGTCATGATCAACCTTTGTTAAACTCTTGGTTCTTTCTTCTTTGAACTTCATTTTAAAAGTTTACCACAACAAGAGTCTTCATATGATCTAATTGTTACTCCATAGACATTTCTAGTTTCAGCAGGTAACTGGTATAGTTACGAGAATTAAAAGCAAACAAACCAAGTCCCATATGAGGAGGGCTGAGAGCTGAAATCAGCCACTGGGAGGAGGGGCAGCAGTGCCTGTTCAGGTTCTCTATGGATAAATACTATGCACGACTCTGCAGAGGCCATCTGTGTGATTTTACTCATTGCTGGAAACCCTACAGAGAATTTCAAGCTCCCAGAGAACATACAGAGAGCTACAAGTATGCACCTCCTGGGGTGGGACCCTGACCTTAGAGTTTTGAGCAACTGTTCTCTCCCGTGCATCCCTGTTTTAAAACCACTTCAAATAAGAGCTGAAGTTTCTTAGGGTGCCTAAATTTCAAAAGGAAAATCATCTAATTATAGCAAAACACATCCAGAGGACATTTTAGTATTGTGCAGTTAAAACCCTGGGGTCAATTTTCAATATCCTCAGTGCAATTTATAGAATTCCACTGGGACACAACACAGATTCTGCCTAGAGAGCTAAACCCTGTCAGAGAAAGAGTGAAGCTTTCGGAATTATTATTGTGCAGTGGATCCAAAGAAGCAGAACTGAAATAGCTTCTTTGAATGCCCTCTTAGTAGTAAAGAAGAACAAAAAATGTATGAAATGTTTCTGACCTTTGTAAAACAAAATTTATGCCATCATAAGACTTGGGGTTGTTTAACCTAAAAACATCTTCCAATTTAATTTGCAAAGTGTTTATTATGTGTTCTTTTTGTAGTTTGTGAGCTTTGCTTAAAAGAAAGCTTTGAATTTAATAGAAAATGAAGTGGAGAAGAACACTGTCACCGCCATGCATTTTGGAGGCAAGGGCAGGTATTGTGTGTTTGTTTTAAAAAGTAAATGAAATGGTTAAGAGGGTACAAGCAGCAGCATAAATAGTGTTTATAAGGTCATTCAAAGCACTTCCCAACACAGCATACACATAGCCTCTCAACAAGTCCCCTGATTGTGTCTTCTATCTGCCCCTAGCTCCTAACAGAGACCATCTACAACCAAATACTTTGAACTGGTATCTTCAAGCATGGTGACATCCTGTACTTCTTAGACAATTGTGCCTTGCTTATTAAAGTGCATATAAGAGAAGGATGACAATGGGTTCACATTGTACCCATTCTGTAGCCAAGGCAGGTATCACTCATCAATGTTAGTACTGTCTTTTCCTGTGGGCCTGGAATCCTCAGAACCATTCTCCACACAGCCACTAGGCAATTGCTACCATTTAATTAGAGTTGGTAATGAGATGGGGTGAACCCTCCCTGCCCTTCCTGCTCTTAGTGCAAGGTTAATCCAGATGAAATTGGCCTTTTTTTGTCTCAAACAGGGCTGAACGTTGGTAATTTCATATGGTTTGACTTTAAAAAGAAATTGCTTTTCTGTCTCTCTTCTGCATAGTTTAACAGTGACCTCCTCTCTTTCCACTCCCCAGGACTGAATTAATTATGATATTATTTTAATCTCTCTGCTAGATTTTTTCTCGTGCTCTATTATGACTTCATATTTACATATGAGTCTTCGCTACAGAGTCTCCTTGAGGCAGAGCCAAATCTGACTCATCTTTTTATCCTAAGCACCTAGCAAAACACCTGACCCTCAGAAGGATTAATGAATATAGTTGAATTACAATACATTTTAAAGGAACTCTCAATTTTTATTTTCTTTACCTGAAAATAATGCAACCCTTCATGAAAGTGTCTTCTGCCTGTTGTTTACAGCTGGGTATTTGCATGCTTGAAGTTCAAGAACACTCGAAAGATATTCACTTGTTTTCTCCTCTTTCCTGGGTCTTTCAAGGTTGACTTATCCAGTTTAATGGGAAATCTAGGCAGACTCCTATTCAACTTCCTGGACCATTGATGAACATATTAGCAGCTGCCAGTGAAACAGACCTCAATGTGGGGATGACCAGAACCTATTCCAAAGCCTGTCACACTCCTGGAGAGGACAGACCACAAGCTTCAGCATCCCCCAATCTGGCAAGATGCTCACACAGACTCCAAAGCAGGATTTGGAACCCTACAGCTGGGCAAGGGGAAGGCAGGGGCCATACCTTTGATGAGCATCAAACATTTTCTGCCTACCTAGAGACTCCCCAGGGAGCAAGGGGTCAGTTCTGACCCCTAAGGGGCAGTGCAAAGTCTACAAGGGAAGTTTCCCAACACAGACAGGAAAGAAAAGTGTCTATACTTTTTACTCAGCTGTCATCCTTTAGGTGAGGAAGCTGGACTCAGGACAGCTGGAGCAAGGGTGCAGTTTTGTACTGCCATCTTTGCACAGATGGCTATTGCTCCCAGGAACACCCCCCCAGTAAGTCTCTTTCCAACTCAGTTCTGGCATCTCTTTCTCCTGGAAACTGAATCTATTTCTTTCATTCATCTTCCATTTTCTGTTTCTCATTTAATGGGAATCTTTCCCCGTTGATGCTTCTAGCTCCAAAGATGTCAAGAAGCATGCTTGCTTCTTTTCCTATTCCCTTGGATCCATGAACCTGGGAACCTAGACTAAGAGGCGGGATGCAACCAATGAGAGAGAGAGAGAGAATGCAATAGCTTCTGACAGGCAGCTAGGTTACACATTCAAGACACAACATTAGAATGGAGGAGGGGATGGAAGAAAAGAAAGACTATTTCACAGTGTCCATTTAGTATCAAATAAGCACAGCCCCCAGGCATCATCCTAACAAGTGATGAGGACTTTACGTATAATTTCTGGATTTTAAAAAGAAAAAAAAAATAAAAGGAACATCCACCTGTTTGGCCACTGGAAGTGGCCAGTTCACTTCATTACACCAAGATGAAGATAGGGAGGACATTTGGAGAAGGACACTGCTCTCTATTGAAATGCACAAAATAAACACACAAAGTTCAGCAACTTGATAAATACCTAAGATCAGTAGGAATGCTTGGGCATCTTTTTAAAAAGGTTCTGTCGGTCACTTGCTATCTGCACATCCACAAACCTCTATTATGCTGGTCAGATCACATGGGAACAGAGCTCTCTGCTGGGGTCCTGGTGATTTTCTTGTCCGTCTATGGAGAGGGAGCTGAGAGAAAGACCCTTTAGGCTAATGGATG